GCAGCCTTTCAGGTTTAAGGGCAAACACTGCAACCAATCCCTACAGGAACGATTATCATACCAAGATAAGCCCAGATTAATCCAATAAGTCAAATATTGAGAAGACAGAACAAGTATTGATTATAATTAGAGGATGGTTGACATAAGAAATCACAATCAACAGATCAACCAAAAAGATGCTATTCGACAAAGCATATTACAGCGGCCTTGACCATTGGGCCATCTGTTCATCTGTTGTAGGTTCAGGAAAACCTAAAAAGTGACGTTTCTGAAGACAAAATGAATACAATATCATCTATATGTAAGTAAATACTGTAAACAAATGCCATATAGTAGCTGCTATGCATGCTTCTAGTATTTTCAAATCATCACACTATGTAAATATGTGTGAATATGTATGCTTATCAACAGGCTTTATTATGTTTGATGTTAAGTTGATAATGTGGCAGCCAACATGATGGAAACTCCCACCAAGGGATGTGATTACAAGACTATGTGGGAAATTCAATTAGTAGGAATATGGTCAATGAATTATTATAACTGAATCATGAATCATGCCGAGAAACAGGCAGTGATATGATAACAGATGAATCTTACAAATGAATTCACTGTACAGTTTTGGAGGTGTATGTTAAGCATTACTTATGCTTTGAGTCTTGTCATGTTCCATAGTTTGTTTTAGCACTGAGTGTTTTCTTGCAGTGAGTGGATGTTCCTGTTTCCCTCAGCTCCACAGTTTGTTTTAGCACTGAGTGTTTTCTTGCAGTGAGTGGATGTTCCTGTTTCCCTCAGCTGCAGCTGCACAGCTGTACAAAGCAGCCTTGGAATCAAACCAACTGAGAGTTTTCTTGCAGTGAGTGGATGCTGTGTCCCTCAGCTCCACTCTGCTACAATGACTGACTGAGTGACTGGATGTTTAGTTTTCAGCTCCACAGTTTGTTTAGCAATATTCCAGCAATATGGATGTTCCAAGCGGGGACACCAGAAATGGGCTTAACAGTGTTTGCCCATGTGAGTGGAATCGTTTCCCTCGGCTGCAGCAGCACTGGCTGTAGCAAAGCAGCTTTAACCACCTAGGCTAAGAGCAATGTTCCACTCTGCTACAATGAGACGGAGAGGGAGCAAAGACACAGCCTCATCAACCACTCCCTGAGTCAGATTCTGTTGCAAACAATATGTGCTTAGACCGTGTTGCAAGCAATAGGTACTTAGTCAGATCCTGTTGCAAGCAATAGGTACTTAGTCAGATCTCATTGCAAGCAATAGGTACTTAGATCTTGTTGCAAGCAATAGGTACTTAGATCCTGTTGCAAGCAATAGGTACTTAGACCCTGTTGCAAGCAATAGGTACTTAGATCCTGTTGCAAGCAATAGGTACTTAGATCCTGTTGCAAGCAATAGGTACTTAGATCCCATTGCAAGCAATGAGTATTAAGTCAGATCTTGCTGCAAGTAATTGCTACTTAGTCAAACCCTGTTACAAGCAATAGGTAATTGGTCCTACTCGGACCTAGGTTACGCAAAGCAAAGGATAAGGCCAGTTCAGCACAAGTACCCTGGGTCCCCTTTACGAAGCAACCTTTACTAAGGTTAACCTTAACTCCCATTCTTTAACATTGCACTAAGGTTACCTTAGTGACTTATGATCACCTTAGTGCTTTGTGAATGGAGACCCAGATCTCTTTGCACCATATGACCATGATCACAGTAACCTTCCATGACATTTTTCAGAACTACTGCTGGGACTGGGTACAACCTCTCTGCTTTGTGGTCAAGTTATGGGGGAAAGCTATGGTTAACCACCCATCCCATTACTCCCAGGACAACTGAGTCATTCATCAGGTGGGATAACATGCCATCAAGGTTCGCAGGGTCAGCATAACCCAATCAAGTATCCACTAAGATCCTGCAGTACAGCACTAGTCCATGACTTCCTGAGTTATGATTCTGATGCCAAGGGAGGCGATTCATGAATATATATATATATATATCACTGGTAGACCAATAGGATTATCAACTATTTATTGATGCAACCACAAATGGTGGCCTCTGACTTTAGCAGTATTTACACAGTTATTCTGAATTGTTATTCTTCTAAAACAGCACTTTCGGACGAAGCAAACCAAAAGTGAAAATTCAGAAGAAAAAAACCCTGCTTTCATCTAACTTCTCCGTGAATGCAAGCTTTGGAATAAATCACTGACAGCCCAAACCATTGTCTCCATCAGCTTGTTTAATTTTCTCCATTAGAATCCAAACTTCTCCAAATGACATCCTTCAGTGTAACTGAAAACTAGGAATTGTCTTGAGCATACTTATGTAATTCAAAAATCCAGACACTGTCCTTTGTTTTTTTATTTGCCAACTTATCACACTGCAGCTCTGCTGAACTCAAAACAAAAATATCACATAGAACACACTAAAAATATATAAAAAGCACAAAAATGATATCCACAACCAACATGTAAATAAGCATGGCTTGGCGTAATAAATATATTTAGATGTGTTGCACACACAAAGCCCAACAGATCCTCCCCTCAGAAATACATAAAGAGCAACAAGGTATGTGTACAGTAAGCATACTTCAGAAATGTGGCAATAATTAGAGCTTTGACATGACATTTGCCATATATATTTGCACTGTCATAGAGAATACGGACAAAGCAGCATTGGCCAAGGTATAAGACATCTAGAATGGGCTTCACACATTGCACCCATTTCATAAATTTCAAAGCAGTCCTAGCATGTTGGGTGAAACCCCCGGTCTCTTTTCCTAAAAAGTATACTGAAAGAACCTACAGAACAACATATTTTCATTCAGTGAGCATGTGTTAATGCCTCTCAATTCTTCCAGGAATACCATATCTGGGAACACTTGAGGATGGGCTGACACATTGTACCCATCTAGGGACTTGAACTTCACTGAGGCCCAGTGACCACTCGATCAAAGTCACTTCACTTGGAAGCAGCATCACTAAATCTATTCTCATCCTGAACCAGAGTTAAACTGTAACAGCCTCAAGGAACATGTGATCAGGTGAATATAAGTAAGTGAGTGCATCTAAGACCAGGTGTGGAACAACTGTGGAAATTCACATGCATGTGATCATGTTCATCAAACACCTGGCTGCTACCTTGCAGGTGAATGTGTAACCACAGAGTGGTGTGTCAACTGCTACAGGTGTAACACCCTTTGAGAGAAGCAAGATGTCCAAGTCACAGACAATCTTAAGGTGAACAATCAGTTTCATGTTACAGTTTCAAGCTTTGGTAGGAGTATTTTATCCACTTTGTTTCTTTAACTCACATTTAATGGTGTAAAGTCAACATGTTATTTATGATGGTCCTTGTTTCACGAATTACAACTGGTGGATCTACACTAAAAATGGAGACCAGTCCATGGTGGCAAGTCATCCAAGAGCTTGACATGAGTCAATGGTCAATGGACCACAGACCAATATTCCAGCTTCCCTGGGTATGTGATAGAGGTCTGTAAATAATCATGTCTGGACCAGACAATCTAGTGACTGATATTGTGAGCACCAATCAGCTATAGTACTTATAAATTCTTAAAAACCGAGCATGGATAAAAGAGTAATCCACACATAGAACTTATCACTGTGTATGTCAGATATGGCATTTTTCTTCATATATTTGGAAATATCAATGTAAATTCATTTTTAACAGTATGAAGTGTAAACGTTTACACAAAGTTCTTTTCTTACTGTTCATATTTCACTGAATTTATTTATATTCCTTTTTGATCATACGGTTAGTGGACAGCTTGAGTCTCCAATGAATTATCTGGTTAAATTCAAAACCAGAATTGAATGTTGATGAAGCTGCAATGAACAACATCCATCATCAACAGACAGGTTTTATTATTTGGTATTGAAACCAGATGAAAGTTTAATCCATGCTTGAACCTCCCATGTTTAAAATATAATTGGTAACAGTGAACAAAACCCCTACTTGAGGATGAGGATTGTGCATAATGTTCAAGAGGGGAAAGTATTCTGAAAAATAAAGGAAATCGTGAATAATGAAAAGTGAAAAGGCACAAGCAAAAACTGATGAAGCACATCAGACAAAGCCAAACCCATCAAATATTAAAAAGGATTAAATCAGTCAAAATCAAAACTCAAAACAAAGAATGAGCAATACATGCAATAGAATAAATACCATGCTGAAAACAAGAACATGCTCTGATAAACCAATACCTTTAAATTCTGACAATGGAAGGTAGATGGTTCTTGTGGACATACTTCAAAACAACATCAGATCCATGTTATGGATTTGGGATCAAGAACAAGGCAACCATTAAGTTAACTTGCCTATAAAATTCAAGAACTTTCCATACTTCAGCTCAGAATATATACTGAGAGAAACAAATAAAGGATCACAGAAAAATTCAAGTGTTCCTTATTATTTTCCAATTTTCATCACCACAGCACTATTCAAAGCTGGTGATGAAAACTGGAAAATATTAAGGAACACTTGAATTTTTCTGTGATCCTTTATTTGTTTCTCTCAGTATATATTATCCTTCAAGGAGGTGAGTGAGTATGGTTTTACGCCGCTTTTAGCAATATTCCAGCAATATCATGGCAGGAGACTCCAGAAATGGGCTTCACACAATGTACCCATGTGGGGAATCAAACCCGGGTTTTCGGCGTGACGAGCCAACGCTTTAACCACCAGGCTACCCCACTCCCCTTGTACCCGCGGAAGAGAAACTAAAGGAGGAGTTACTCTTAATGGACCTGATTTTTTACATGACGAAAATTTGTACTTCCACCCATTCTTGTCCACAAGCTTCCATTTGCCTTGACCCATCATCCTTTAAAACAAGGAAATAAACATGGTAATGAAATCAACAAGTGAGTGACGTTGCTAACATGTGCATGCAACAACAAGAACAACAACCACCAGGTAAAGCGGGCAAGCAGCTGGCATGCAGTGGTATTACCAAGCTGAGCTGTGGGTTTAGGACAACTAACCTAGTCTTCTCCGCTACTTGATCATTCATCAGTGAGAGTTGCTTAGAGTTATCACCCGAGTTTTTCATCAGGTCGGCCAACTGCGCTTCCTTCGGGGTGGAAAAGGAAATGAAAATAAAAACACACTTGCCGAGCCGATGTGCCAACACTGAACAGAGGAGAATGAACCACAAGTGTTAAGGTGATCAATGATGAATGTGCGATGACACGGATTTCAACATGTCACAGAAAATTTGCAAAATGAAAACCATTCCTTTACAAATGTTTCTGTCAGATATGTTTACAAAATCACAAAAATATTCATCAAACTATATTTTTTTCCGAAAAATTTGAAACAAACTGTAATTGCAATTATCCTTATTTGAATTTTTCAGAAATGTCCACTGTCAGTTTTATCAAAGATGGTCTGAAATTCTACAAATTAATTTCAATGATGAAATATGAAATATTTATGTGGGGCACACAGTCTCACAGTATTAATAATGATAACAGAAAACAAACAACACATTTAAAGCTCAACAGCAAATCAAATTACATGACAATATTCAATATCAAACACAAGATGGTGTAGACAGCCAACACTGAAATAGAAACACAGTAAAGGAGGAGGCACACTAGAAGCCATGGCAACCAAGCTTAGCACTTTCGTGCCAGGATATAATTCCTGATCAAAATAATACATAACAGTTGGGCACCTGGATGATCTTGCTTTTTATTAAAATGAACATAATCATAGACTTCCAGATTTCAAATCAACAACTTCAGAAATATAACAAATGTGTTTTTGTGTTACCATAGAAACCACAGTTATATTATATCTCCCTGTCTGTAGCATGATTGAAAACTTACTGTCCTTTGGAAGTGTGTCTCAAAGGCAAATACAACATTATCCAAAGGTCAAGGCTTTAACACACTTTCAACTGTTTGTTTGCAATAATGTATGGGAGACGGATTTCATCACATTTCACTAAAAATATCACCTACAATTGCTTGCTTAAATCATGTAATTTTTTAATGGTGAACTCTACAAACAATAAAAAAATCCATGATGTTAAGGAACACAATTACTTCCAAGTCTGAGAGTTTTTTCATGAATCCATGTAAAAGTTTCAACTGATGTCTAAATCTATTTATTATTTCATGGACCCTTCTGTATCCCGGAGTATTGCACCATAAACATTGTCTTTATGATACATCCAGATACTCATTAGGACAGGGTGCAGTGATGTTAGGTCTGCCTGAGAGGAATATAGGTACAGATCTAAAACTAGCAGGGTTAATCTGACAACTCCTTCCTCTACTCAATCAAGGCTATAAAGGTCTACTTTGTCGTGATAGCACCTTGACAACTGCTTCCGAAAACTTATTTACAAATGAATTTGAGTAGTTCGAGAATAAATAAAATAAACCTAAGGCAGTTGTTGATAGTTCAGTTGTCAAACAGGTTACACATTGGTTAATTCCTGCCTCCTTAGCAGGATAATACAAACCATCTACCTACAACTTTACATCATCCCAGTCATTTTAAACTTGAAACAAAATCAGATCCAACACGTTATTAACATACTGTGTTAATTCTTGTGCACAGATTTATCTTTAACCCATTTTCAGGAACTTGGTGTTTAAGTTTCCCTCCACAATCTTCCACCTGTCAGACTTTCATGTCAACTATACAGAATATCCGAGAAGTTGTCATACTAACCTGGCAACTATTTATATGTGCTACATCATCTATCTAGGACTGAGAATATACAGAGAGGAAATCAGCTTCTATGGATCTAAGATATTCAATTAATTCAGCTGATCATTTCCAGGCAAAATCTTGGAAAGTTCAAGAAACTTTATCGCAAGAAATGAATATTTCAATATTTTTGGGAAACAAGTGAATTATGTTGAATCAAGCCATGTTCTGTGATGCTGCTCTCCTGCGACTTCAATATTTGGATACACAGGAAAATAATGGCAGGGTCGAGGAATTTCTGATATTATAGATCAGAAGATATCTTCTACCTTGAAGGAGTAGAAGTATATCCAATAGGCTCATGCCATTACAATTATAATATCTAACATACGTAATCTAGACATGTAATCACTCAAGATGAGCCTTTCAGAAAATGATTGCCTTGTAAACGGACACTCCCTAATCAAATGTAACATTAGAATGGGACTTGCCAAGATTTTGCTTCTTCAGTATGGATGACAACTACTGGATGTGAATGTTTTAGTCTGCGACTACAAGCAGCTGTCAACTTTGAACACAGATACACAGACAGGGATACAATGAGAGATACACGCTACACAAGCTACATACAATTCTGTTACGATCATCAGTGAGCTCGTCCATCTTGTCCTTGCTTGTTGCTAGCTGTCGCTGAAGGTCTGAAAGAAACATTTATTTTCAAGCCAAGTGAAAACTCTGTCATAACAAGGAATTGTAGCCATATGTTTGTAAGTATTGTTTCTTTCACAATATTGAATTGTCAGGTTTCCACAACACTACAGCATTTGCTGAAAACACCTTATGTTAAAGGTTTTCTCTGGCTGAGTCAAGTGTTTTAACGATGCATTATTTATGGAATATTCTTTTTATTCAATTTTCCCACTTTACTGTCACTGGTAACAAGTATAATTATAAATCTGGCTCTGAAAGAAGCAACATTTCATCTATGACAAAGCAATATTTTGGGCGATTGTTGTCAATGTTAATTCACATATACAACATACACCAAGCCGACTGGCTGTTGTGGCATACATAGTGCCACACATGTCCCATTCATTCTCCCGGAACACACATTCAAAGTGATTCTCAAAATACCGATTGAGCAGAGTTGCCTCCCTACTCTGTATAATTATATCCAAGACCAAATTTCACTTTAGATTCAAATATTCACATGCAATTCTTAATTCTTCATTTTAACAGTATAACAATATTTCACAGAACTGTCAATATTTGCTAACTTGAACCTTAAATTAAAAAGTACTGAATGTCAAAAATGACATCTTTTTATTCAACAAGAAACAAGACAAACAATATTTTCCAAGACAGGGCCAATAGCCTTTAATTCATCATCTCTGTCATCATGAATAAAATCAACCTGTATCCCACAGTGAACATTTCCTGTAAGTGTGAGTGTAATTCATCATCTCTGTCATCATGAATAAAATCAACCTGTATCCCACAGTGAACATTTCCTGTAAGTGTGAGTGTAATTCATCATCTCTGTCATCATGAATAAAATCAACCTGTATCCCACAGTGAACATTTCCTGTAAGTGTGAGTGTAATTCAACTCATGCACACTCTCACTTGCAGGCAGACAAGTTGGGCTAAACATATTATGCCAAGTCAGCAGTATTTATCATGTATTACAAACTGCACTGTGGCACATATCATGCACAAAGGTCAGTTGAGGGAGCTGCAATCAACCCCTTCTGCAGATGCAATCAACCCCTTCCAGATGCAATCAACCCCTTCTCCAGATGCAATCAACCCCTTCTCCAGAGGCAATCAACCCCTTCTGCAGATACACTAAATCAGCCAACTGAGTGTCCAGAAAACAGCCACTTGTTAGTGAGTGTGAGTGTGAATGGCTACATCACTGTGCCCCGTAAATAATCACATCTGGGTCAGACGACCAGGTGGCTAATAGCTAGAGCAGACCACACTGTCCAAATACTTTGCCCCACATCACATTACGTAACAACCCATTCTGAGCTTTCAGAAGATATGAGAGTTATTTCATGTCACGGTCAGCAATATTCCAGCTACATCACAGTGACCTATACTTTACGGAGACAAGACCAGACAAACCAGTGACTAATATGATTAATTAATACACATTAATACAAGTTACAGACCACCTGATTACCTGTACTCGACTCGTTAGTAAGAAGATAATGGGGAGCAAAGTTGCCCTTGAATCCCCACATGAGGAGAGTAAGAAACCCACCTGATCCCCGCGACTTCAGGGAGCGGACCTCCTCCGAGAGCTTAGACTGGGATTTTTCACTCACTTCAAGTTTGTTAGTCAGGTCTGAAAGGGTGCCACACAAAACACATCAGAGAAATCTGGCTGAAGAAACTGTGAACTTACACCAACACCTTCTCAATAATGAAACTGGATCAAAACTGGTTAGAACAGTCTTAATAATGGCTATATTATGTTGTGTCACTGAATGCAAGTTCACAGTTACCTCAAGCAGTGAAAGGGATCACACTCATTAATTCAAACCAAAGCACACCCTCCCCTGCAAGAGCTGACTACACAGTCAACCATGGTCATGACAAACTCAAGGAACAGTTCAAACTGCTTTGTTACATATGTATCAAAATACAAACTTGTTGGTCATCAAGTCATACCCTGTATGATATGAAACACACAGAATACCATATTTTACTTTAAGCCAAATGTTTACGACCAAAATCAAAGGCATTACAAAGTTCTTTAAAAGTATTTTGCAGGTACATAACTTTACAGTCATCAGTCTCTTGTGTGTATATACAAATTTAAAACTAAATGGTAAGATATACAAAACGATAACAGTACTAATAATCCAAACTTTTCAATTTCATTTTTCAAAAATATTGTATAGAATGTGATGAAATGTCTATGTCAATCAGTTGATGTCTTGACGACTCACAGACTGTGAATTCATGACAAAAAGACTCCAGTAGTTTGAAGGAGTTACTGTTGCATCCCTATTCCTGCATGTCCTTGTTTGTTATAACCACGCTGTACTGCATCATACCCTTGTACATACATGAGTCTTATAGAAGTACAGGGACAACCCAAGTGTCACAGTACAGTCCGGTGTCTCACATGTGCAATAGTCACAGTAGACACACAAGAGTAAAACAATCCTTAGCTTGTGCTAAAACTCTCTCAATCTGTTCCATCGGGCCATCATAAATGTTTCAGGGTATAAAATTTCCAAATGTCAGTCAGTTTTGTTCTCACTGAAAAAAACTGCAGCAAATATATCACTGCTCCAATAACGTGACACACGTGACACTTGTGACACTTGAAACTTTAGTTTCTGACAAAGATGTTCGTGTTCCAAATCAGGGGGGGTGTCTAGAAAACAAAATGTTCACAAAAACAATTTTTTTACATCAAAATATTGCCTCAACAAATAATTTCTTGTTTTTCACCTGCTAGTGATGACAAGATTTACATATGTCAACATCTTACTTTATTCACCTGGCCATGCATCATCAGGTATTACTACACCTGCAAGTAATCATCAATGTGTGGGAATGAATGTTGTTTGATGTTGTTGTAAGAAAGGCTAAATAAATCTACAAAATCTACCAGTCTTTTGGCAGAAGACAACTGAATTCACAAATCATTGAATATATGATAAATAAACCAGGATATTGACATCATCACATCTCATGATTAAACTCAACATGAAAATGAATAAATCTAACAAGTGAAGCAGATCATCACTCAAAAATATTTGGTAATTTCTATCACTGCAACATCTCTTACTACTGAAGAGCAAAAACATTCTCTACCATACCCTCATGCACTTGACATACCATAGAGGCATCGATGTAACCAAGCATACAACACATTCTTTGATCCTCACACTTCTGCTGACAGCAAATGCTGACCATAGTTTCTAAAATGTCAATTATTGTAAAAAGTTACTCTACTAATTTTGTCTGGCTGCATCTTCCGAGTTGCCCAGGTGTTAGAGAGAAAAGGGTATAACCTTGACTGTTGCAATAGAGGATCAGCTGGGCAACATTAAACACTAGAGGTGAGTGTTGGCACAGGGACAACCTACCTGTGATGTTATCCTGCATTTTTTGCTTTTTGTTGTTTGCATCTGTCAGTTCATCGTGCTGTGGACAACAACATCACACCAATGTCACGCCAACATCATATAGTGCCAAACAATGTTTACACATCAAATGTGAGGCCAACAAGTCTCAAAGTGGCAAATGTCACCATTCATACAGATCAGTAATACATGAATTACGTTGCAAACAACCACTCAGACATAACACGTGTGGCAAGTAACACCACTCAGACATCACACATGTGGCAAAAAACACCACTCACACATGTGGCAAAAAACACCACTCACACATCACACGTGGCAAGTAACACCACTCACACATGTGGCAAGTAACACCACTCACACCTCACACATGTGGCAAGTAACACCACTCACATCACACGTGGCAAGTAACACCACTCACACATCATACATGTGGCAAGTAACTCCACTCACACATCACAAATGTGGCAAGTAACACCACTCACACATCACACATGTGGCAAGTAACACCACTCACACATCAAAAGTGTCACCATCAGAACACATATAGTACTATCATGTGTGAAATACACCACAAACCACATCACTCACACATCACACATGTGGCAAGTAACACCACTCACACATCACACATGTGGCAAGTAACACCACTCACACATCACACATGTGACAAGTAACATCACTCACACATCAAAAGTGTCACCATCAGAACACATATAGTACTATCATGTGTGAAATACACCACAAACCACATCACTCATTCTGCAAAATCACACATTAAATATTAAGAGAACATGACTCATTCATAAAACATAAGGCAACTATCACTCAAACATCAGACTTGTGGCAAACAATATCATTCATACAGCACAATCATAAACTGGTGTAATAAATTAATATCTGAATTATGATACATATTTGACCATCCAAATACGCAGAATATTGACAATAGCTAAGTATTTCTTTCAAAAATACCTTGCTATATGTTAATAACAAATCTATAGCAACAACAATATTCTTTTTTTATTAAAAAAGAAATGACTACTAACACAGTCTAAGTAAACTTAGGCTCAGTATTATTCGTTACACTGCTTTACTGAGTCTAACAAAATCCTGTGGAAGGTCGCGTCAAGTAACCTTTGAGCGACCAATGACCGCCCAATCAAACGCGAGACGACAGAATGGATTTAACCAATCAGACAACGGCTACTATTTAGTGTTCGGCAGGACTTACAAAATGGATTTACTCTTCCCCGGTCGCCAACACTGATCTCACAACAAATGAAAACCTGCATAAAACACAGATATATGACCTGCAGAATATACGCTTTTGGATTTCTGTTGACATGGTTATCATTAGCTAATATTTCCGCAAGTTGACATCCTTGAATACTGACAAAACGCTATTTTCAGCGACTGTTTACTCACGGTTGTGGCGTGCTCCATGTGCATCACTCGGAAGCGATCGTACGGAAACTAGCATTCGGAATCGTTCGGGTACAAAACTTTTCGAGGTAAAACTTCAAAAGGTATGTGCGAATGTCAACTTTCGCGAGTTGGTAAGCTGTGTTCTGATTGGTCAATTGAAAAGGTTACCTGACGCGACCTTCCACAAAGTTTTGTTCGACTCAGTATAGCAGTGTAACGAATAATACTGAGCCTAAGTTTACTTAGACTGAATAATAACAGAAAGATTAAAGCTAAAATTCTTTTCTTTTGAATGAAATCTAACTTGTCATATGAAGTACCCCCAACCCCTGAAAGCTCAATTTATTACTTAATTTATGCTGAAGTACTTTTTTCAAATAAACATGAGACAATTTCAATGTAAAAATGTATCTATGATTTAGAGCAATCTTTTTCTAACTTTCAGATATGTAGAATGGGTTCATAGGAAACATGTCTTACATCCACATTGAAAGCCTACAGGCTGCTATTATAACGGCCTATAGCCCCGAGTACATGAGCATGCTCTGTCAATGGCTACTGAATACCTGCACACTGCTGAGTGTACGCTGTAATACAATACTACTGTATGATGGGCGGATGAGTAGCATGGCTCAGTGACAAGTCTTAAACAAGAAGAAGGAGAAGAATCACAAAACGCTGCACGCTTAAACAAATCACAAATTAGTGAACATGTCAAAACAACATTGACCGAGAAGAAAGTGTCAGCCCTATAGATAGTCTGTACAAAAAAACACCTGTACAGTCTACTTGTTGAAAATGTCTTTTCCTGTATCTTTCTGTTCTGATTATTTTGTACATGTGGTATGTTATTAAATATGCTTTCTTGATCAAATGATGTTTCATTTGACTTTGGATTCAGATAAATGTGTATTTTGCAGACAGAAGATGTGATCCACTAGTGTTAATGCATCTTGATATGGTTCAGTGTTAACGATGTCCTCACCTTGTAACCTGAGGCTGACAGTTTCCATGGTCACAAATACAACATGATAACAGGTGAGAATCCCACAGGGCACAGGATAACAGTCTACATCTAACCAATCCATTTAATCTGAATCTTACTTATCATCGGATGCATCCATCTCCAAGTTGATATTTCACTCAAATGATTTTTTAAAGCTAAATAATTCTCAGGGAATGTAGAATGCAATGTGATCACACTTACTAGTATGATCCAGCATACAGAATAATAGTAAGTGAGTGAGTTTAGTTTTACACCGCTTTTAGCAATATGCCAGCAATATAACAGTGGGGGACACCAGAAATGGGCTTCACACATTGTACCCATGTGGGAAATCGAACCCGGGTCTTCAGTGCAGATTAGTAGTGATGATGCACATCTAGCAGACTTTGTGATAAGGACAATTATCATTATGTTTGATGCATAAATAATTATAAGCATTAGCGCCCTCTCTGAATGTCCTGTGCCCTCGTTGGATGGTTCACTGCAAGTGTTATAAGCCTGTCACACACTGCATAAGTAACACTCTGAACGTCATGAAACATCTGTTACCTAATACAATAGCTGATAGCAGGTTCTGAAGCAGACAGTTTAACAAAATATGGGTGAGATCCATAATCTGTATTTATCACATCATTATCATAATAACATGAACCTGATATAGGTTTTCTTAAAATGTTTGTCACATTTAAAACCTAAAGTAACATTTACTGAATGACTGAATCTAGAGTGAAAGCTGTAGTAAATTTCTTCAAAACATCACTTTCAACTTCACAGAAAATGACCATTGTCCTTGTAACATATGTTATATTTAGGATTACAATTTATCACTGAAGTACAGATTCTAATACTTTTTGGGATCTAACCCACTCAGCCACCGCAACTTGTGTATTCATAGCTTTTGACCATGGTAGACATGCCAATTTACATTAGTCAGAAGGGTACATAATCTAGACTACCAGTTGTCCGACTTTCGGGAGCTGCGTCGGTTGAGTGGGTTAAATGGCTGACTTTGTGTGCAGGCGATTAGGTGCCTGACTCTGAGAGTGTGGGTTCAAATCCCGGAAGGGACTCAACCCCACAAGTACGAGAATCTGTACTTTATTGAGAAAGTGTAATCCCACTTATAACATATGTTACATTTGACCAAGGCATTGTGTATATACTGTCCTTGATCCCAGGTATCAAAGGGAGATAACCCTTTCATAAACGTCACACTGCAACCATCCAACTGCTGCAGAGACTGGGAACTCCAAATCATCTTAATCCTTTCTCAATGATATATTTCTGTAATATCCCAGTAGCCTGGCTAAACCAGTGGGCGACTGCATGAGCATCAACAGATGTTGATGGGGAAACATTCACTACAGCTATTCACTCTAGACACAGTAACTCTCACATGTGCCAATGTCCGTATACTTGTACTTTGTGGAGTTCGGTGCTACAATAATGAGAACTCCTTTCCTTATGTCTTGGTTTACAGATTTTATTTGTGTCACAGATTCTGGTCAGAACATAACAAAAGGTTTTTCAAATTATTGGCAATTAAGTTTGTCATGTTCAATTCATTTTAACCTATTGTCTAGTAGTTTAGCGTTGCTTGCATTAAAAAAAGTGCTTTCAGATACATTTTTTCAACATAGTTTCTTCAGGCTTGTAGAATATGTAAACCAAAATGAGAAAACAGTTGTCTTGCCTGTGTATAATTGTATAATTTTCATATTTTCATATATTCTCAAAAATCTTATCTAAATAATTTCAAGCATACAAGCAAGGGCACATGAATTTCCTTAATTTCAATATGGTGAAATTTATTCATTAAGATTATTTCACAACAGACACAAGTTGAAAAAGTCGGCAGACAAGCTTCTGCTTCATGCACACCTCAATCTGGAAGTAAACTGCATTCAAGGAAGGACAAATCAACATGGATCAACATGGGGAGGGAAAGACCACACAAAGCAATACTGTCCAGTATCCAAATACATCCAGGATATATGGAAGACAACTCACACAAAAATTATAAATATATTTGTGCCAAAAGTGGCATGCATGTCTTCTCTGTATGTGCTATGAAAGTTGTACAAATCTTTACCAACATACATCATTACAGGATCCTCATTTCTAACTAGGCCTAACATTTTCACAAAATCAAATAAGTGAGTTTAGTTTTACGCCGCTTTTAGCAATATTCCAGCAATATCATGGTGGGGACACCAGAAATGAGCTTCAAACATTGTACCCATTAGGGGAATCGAACATGGGTCTTTGACGAGTGAACGCTTTAACCACAAGGCTACCCTACTGCCTTAATAAAATTAAAAATAACACATGATATCAAATAAAATGTTACTTTTTTTCTTTACAATAAAATTTTGTTTTTCAGAGTTTGGCTTTAATCCATAACAGTGCCTGAAATGAATCAGGCTTGCTAAGTGGCTTAATGGCCTAAGATCTGCTCTTCTTTCACATGTACTCTCTCAGATGTCATATGATATAAAAATGTAAATTCTAAATTCAAACATGATTTCAGTTTGACTAACATTATCTTGTGTTTAGGTATTTACTTCTTTAAACTTTGGAATTCACTTTTTAAATCACATTAGAATATTTTCAATTAACTAAGACAAAATTATGCTTGTACCATCACCAGACATGACGCACAATGCTGAGAATTTAAAACAAAACAGAGTATGCACATGGATATTCTGTACACAAACAATGCCTGGATCATGCATCAAAACACATAGCTAGCTGCTCTAAGTTGAGTATAGTGTCAAGCAAACAGGTCTTGCTAGCTGTCAAACATTCACTTGATGTAAGTGTGGCTCAAAGCTAGGCCAATCATAAAAGGGTTGAAGACATGATGCACGTAAAATAAGCTAGTTTTTCTTACGAATTTTGGATGAATACAAAGACAATACACTGAGCACCTTACTGATGGATTCTAGGCACTATAGAAATGCATTATTATTATTTTGTTGATAGTATTATTATTATTGTACATATGTTAAATGATAGCAAACGATCCTTCTTGCATGTCAAATCATTGCCCATAACTAGACATGTTTCAATTTGAAAGTAATTTTGTGGACACGATTCGTTTCTTATGAACTCATCCTCATCATGACACTATTTTCTTTGAACATATGAGACATGTATTGACTTTGGCACATATAATTATGAAATTGGGTACAGTTATCAATTTCTCCAGTGACACGTCTTTCATTAATAAGAGTTGCAAGAAATAAAACTTGGTGATGACATGCATATCAATGAAATTTTCTTTAGTGTGATTTACAAAGATGTTCAAAGTAGAGCAGCCAGGTTTATATGATACTGAAGTGCTGATATTACTGTGTGGCCTACCCTTACCTATACAGTGGTGAAGTTAGTATAGGGCTACACTAGTGTTAGTAGCGAACGAAGTTCGTCTCGTCTTCAAACAGATGCATCAGGTCACGCAACCCTCGCAGCTAAGGGAGATGGAGAGTAATTGTTCATTAATAACATCAGCAATTCTCACGCTCTTTCACAAGTTTCTTGACCATATATATCACCATACTTAAATGAAAAACTATCTCAACTGTACAAACGTTGATTTGTCAGAAACAAATTCCAACCTCAGAATGAACATGAAATAGTTTATGTCATTAAATCTAATCCAAACAATTTTCACAGATGTTTTTGTATCATATTTCTTGTAAAGATCTAGTAATTCTTGAATATTCACATATTTGTGGCCTCTGGCATTATTTCAGTGAAAAATAATTACTGGTCCCTTTAAGTGCTGTTTAGTGAACATTTTGCTGTGAATAAATTTTCTGAACCTGTGATAACTTATTCACTGGACAGGACACAATATTTATGGAAAACGGATTTCATTTCAGAAGTCAGAATGAAACTTGTAAAAGATCAAAAGAAGACAGCTGAAATAAGAATATACATTTGTCTGATGCCATCTGTACATGACACGTACAGTGTACAGCAGGGGACTGTACAGCAGCGTGTTGTGGGCACAAACACTGACCACTCCTCACTGGACCATGCTACTCAGGGTACTGCCTCCTAATCTTGTGATACATGAACCAAGCTAAATGAACGATTCAGATGGAAATGCAGTATCTAGTTTGATTTGGGCACAAAACCAGTCATGGCATGCAAAAGATAAGCTAACTAATTTATCCTATACAATTTTTATATTCCTACACAGATTTTCCTTATGAGGATTTGAAGTTTTGTATCAAAGTGTCTGGGAAATGAATTCAAATGATTTCAAATTGATGAAAAATAGCAAATCAAGCAAAGCCAGACAAATATGTTTTCAAGATGACCAAAAAAGCAGCTCAAGCAAATAAAAAACTTTGGCTTCCCGTAAAAATTACCCTGATGATACCATAAGGCAAACACTCATTTACATTTGATTGAATGAAAATAGATGAACTATGACTTCAAAAATGTTATTCTCATAATCTTCACAGTTACACGATGTAAGGTCAATGCATTTTTATAAATGACTCGTTATACTGGTGGTATATGAAGACGTTAACCTCATTGTTAAAGAGACTGTCCATGAGACTTTTGGACATCTTGCATGTACTACCAATATAGGTCCTATTCACATCATCTAGTCAGATTGCATGGCACTAGTCCTACAGCTAGCCTATGACATACCACTTCCACCAGCTTGTCCTGGAGCTGTTTGATCTCCTTCCTCTGTGACGACATTGCCTCCTCCAACTCCAACACCCGGTTCGTCTTCTCTGCAAGATCCATGCCCACCTGGCTCGTCTAAAAATGAGAAATCATGGTCAAAGGGAGATAACCTAACCATATCCAGTGCTAATCTTCAGACTAAACATACAGGTCTTCATAAGGTTCTCCAGTGTTAAACTAAGCATTATGAAAACAAACGACAAAATGGCAATCAACTGATCAGTCAGATGGGTATCTTCATTAATGTTAATGTTTCAACAAGACCTGTCAAATAGTTGTCATTGAAGTCGAATGTCAAGAGTTGGTTGACAATCTTGATACAAGAAACCAATGACAAGCTATCAATATATCCTACTAGCATCAATCAAAGGCACTGAAAGTGGGAAACATCTGCATATTCATCATGAAAATAGAGCCCTTAACTGCACACTATTATTATGTCACAACATTCGTATATAATTGTGAACCAGCAGTGCTAGGCAGTTCGGTCTGAATCTGAGAGTTCAGAGCCACCTCCTGTAACCTGTACCAGAATAAATCAATGTGGACCTACAAGAAAGACTTGTGTTCTGAATAAAAGTCATATCCCCAGAGCATCAACCAATCTGAGACGGATACAAGTTAGCCAATCAGAACTACAGAAAATAAGAAAACACACTGTTTGAAATTATTATGGTTTGATTGCTGATCTAACAAAATGCACCTGGAAAAGTGCTTTACACACATCCTCCATAATCCTACCTTAGCACCTTCCTCGAGTCTTGACGCCTCAAACGCCTTGATCTTGTTCTCCGCCTGGGTGAGTTTATAGGTGAGTTCCTCCATCTGATCCAGGTAGGTTGTCTGGGTTTCATCAGCAGTCTTCAATTTTGTCTGCTGCTGGGTGACCATATCCTGAAAGGAATCAACAACGGACTCCAAGTTTGGAAACACAAGGGAGTGTGAATGGGTACTGTTTCACACATCAATATGGACATTATATATCAGATATCAATAAACTGATACAGGGATTGGGATAGAGAACTTTGACAATGGGCCATTTTCAGGACTATTAGCTATTTTCTGAATTTAGAATGGGCCACTGCCCTTGTATCAATAGTAAACTTCAAACTTTTAATGGGCCATTTTTTATTCTAGTGTGCAAAATGGCCCATGGCCCCTGCCTTCCCCGATTACACTTTCTTAGTAAAGTACAGATTCTTGTACTTTTGTTGGGTTGAGTCCCATCCGGGATTCAAACCCACACCTTCACGGTCAGGCACCTAATCGCCAGCACACAAAGCCTAACCCGCTCAGCCACCGCGACTTCCTGGATTGGACTCAACCCAACAAAAGTACTAGAATATGTACTTTACTAAGAAAGTGTAATCCCAAAATTAACATGTTACATTTGACCCCTTTCTAAATGGCACTGTGTAATCATGGTTGAGATGGATAAAGAGTAGGCAGAAACTTCAGTGGTGACAATCAACTGCATAATGCCTTCGGTCTGAGGTGTGTGACACACCAGCAACCATGTGACAGTTTACGAACACCCAATCCTCATGATGCAGTTGTCACATAATCATAGTGTTCAGGGGGACCAAGGGCCCACGTGGGGACATTTAACAAAAGTTTTCCAGATTCTGGAGGTGTAATCTCTCCCTCGAGACAGCAACCGAAAGTTTACATATCTAATTCCATTACCATTTCAAATAGTTTTCCTCTTTCACATAAAGGAGGAAAACTATTTGCAATGTTAATGGAATTAGACATGTAAACTTTTGGGGTGCTGTCTTCAGGCTCTTTCACGTTTAGATCAAGGTTAGAATTGATCTTCAGCAACCCATGCTTGTAAGAGGTGACTAATGGGATTGAATGGTCAGGCTCACTGACTTGGTTGACACATGTCATTGTATCTCAGTTGCGTGGATCAATGTTTATGCTGTTGATCACTAGATTGTCTGGTCCAGGCTTGATTTATTTACAGACCGCCGCAATACAGCTGGTATATTGCTGAGTGCGGCGTAAAACTAAACTCACTCACTCACACTTCCATATAATATGGTTGCATCACATGCTGTCTCAGCAATAATATGTTTGTCACTACATTACATGTTACACCCTAACCTTCACATTTCAAGACACAGCCAGCCACATAACATGGGATAGAGCACTACAACTACAATACTATGTATATCCAAACCCTGGTCCCAGACTCACCCTGAGAGCTGCCAGCTCTTGCTCTAACTTGTCAGCTCGCTCCTTCTCGCGTTTATGGCCACGTTCCAGCTCCCGCAACTTGGCCTCATCTTCTTCAGTTCGACTCTGTCAGTAAATTATGATCAAAAGTGAACACAATGAACACAAAGGAGGTGCAGTTGCCACTGAGTGAATGCTGTCATAATATGATATATAGTCAAGTCTGGAAAAGGCGAACATGTGCTTTATAACAGTCTCAATGACAAACAATCAGCCAGATAGTAATTGCATTAACTACTAGTTATCATAAAGACAGTGAAGGCACCCACAATCCACATGGGAGTTCCTTGTTAAATGTCTTGTGGTCTACTAACAGGATAGAGTGGTCAGGCTTGAAGACTTGGTTGACACATGTCATCTTATCCCTTGCATAGATTGGTCATGCTGTTGATCACTGGATTGTCTGGACCAGATTCGATTATTTACAGACCGCCGCCATATAGCAGGAATATTGCTGAGTGCAGCGTTAAACACCAACCAACCAAACTATACACTATACTGGTCCCTTACCTCCAGATCATCCTTGCTGATGACTTCCTCCTCGATCTGGAACTGCAGATCTTCAACTTTCCTGTTAACACATAGAGACATGTGAGCATGGGGTCCATCGCAAAACGTTTATTCAGGAAGCAAAGTATATTACATAGCTTCAATGCCTTGGGCAAAAATATATTGACAAAAATGACTTCCAAGACATTCAAGGACTTGTTCACACAAACAAGCTATCATTCTGGCCTAAATAAGGCAGCGAATGAAGGACAAAACTATCTGTATGGGAAAACAGTAACAACAAGAAGACAAAGTCATCAATATCCCCCCACAATAGCAAAATACTCCAGAAAGGAGCACTATCACTTATTTCAGTCTATATCAAACTTGTTGCCATGGAAATGCCAAAAATATTTTATTCAGAAATCCAAAACTACCAAAAGGCACCAGTACACCACCAGATCTATGCATGTGCCAAGTTTGGTGAAGAAATAGTGAACGGTTTTAGAGTTTTGCTCCGGAAAAGTGCACTACCACTAATTTCTGTTTTAGTCAAACTTGTTGCCACGGAAATGCCAAAAATATTTTATTCAGATTTCCAAAACTACCAAAAGGGAACCAGCACACCACCAGACCAATCTATGTGCCAAGTTTGATGAAGAAATAGTGAACGGTTTTAGAGTTCTGCTCCGGAAAAGAGCACTACCACTAATTTCAGGCTTAGTCGAACTTGTTGCCATGGAAATGACAAAAATATTTTATTCAGAATTCCAAAACTACCAAAAGGCACCAGTGCACCACCAGATCTATCTATTTGCCAAGTTTGGTGAAGAAATATTGAACAGTTTTAGAGTTCAGCTCCGGAAAAGTGTACTACCACTAATTTCAGGCTAAGTCGAACTTGTTGCCATGGAAACGCCAAAAATATTTTATTCAGAATTCCAAAACTACCAAAAGGCACCAGTACACCACAAGATCTATGTATGTGCCAAGTTTGGTGAAGAAATATTGAACGGTTTTAGAGTTCTGCTCCGGAAAAGACAAATGTGCACGGATGGATGGACGGATGGACGCACGTACGGACGGAGTCCATTTTAATACCCCCCGCACAACACGTTGCGGGGGATAATAATACACTTGTCCTAAAGGAGGTTATGGTGACAAAGATATACCTGTTACTAATGGGAGTTATCATCATAAAGACAACCTGCTACTAATGCGGGTTATCATCACAAAGACATACCTGTTACTAATGGGGGTTATCATCATACAGACATACCTGTTACTAATGGGGGTTATCATCATAAAGACATACCTGCTACTAATGGGGGTTATCGTCATAAAGACATACCCATTACTAATGGGGTTATCATCATAAAGACATACCTGTTACTAATGGGGTTATCATCATAAAGACATACCTGTTACTAATGGGGTTATCATCATAAAGACATACCTGTTACTAATGGGGGTTATTGTTCATAAAGACATACCTGTTACTAATGGGGTTATCATCATAAAGACATACCTGTTACTAATGGGGTTATCATCATAAAGACATACCTGTTACTAATGGGGGTTATCATCATAAAGACATACCTGTTACTAATGGGGTTATCATCATAAAGACATACCTGTTACTAATGGGGTTATTGTCAAGACATACCCATTACATACCATTACTAATGGGGTTATCGTCATAAAGACATACCTGTTACTAATGGGGTTATCATCATAAAGACATACCTGTTACTAATGGGGTTATCATCATAAAGACATACCTGCTACTAATGGGGGTTATTGTCATAAAGACATACCCATTACTAATGGGGGTTATCATCATAAAGACATACCTGTTACTAATGGGGTTATCATCATAAAGACATACCTGTTACTAATGGGGTTATCATCATAAAGACATACCCATTACTAATGGGGTTATCATCATAAAGACATACCTGTTACTAATGGGGTTATCATCATAAAGACATACCTGTTACTAATGGGGTTATCATCATAAAGACATACTTGTTCCTAATGAGAGTTATCATCACAAAGACAACCTGTTACTAATGGGGTTATCATCATAAAGACATACCTGCTACTAATGGGGGTTATTGTCATAAAGACATACCCATTACTAATGGGGGTTATCGTCATAAAGACATACCTGTTACTAATGGGGTTATCATCATAAAGACATACCTGTTACTAATGGGGGTTATCATCACAAAGACATACCTATTACTAATGGGGGTTATCATCACAAAGACATACCTGTTACTAATGGGGTTATCATCACAAAGACATACCTGTTACTAATGGGGTTATCATCACAAAGACATTCCTGTTACTAATGGGGTTATCATCATCACAAAGACATACCTGTTACTAATGGGGTTATCATCACAAAGACATACCTGTCACTATAGTCTGTTTGCAGTGAAAACATACCGATGAATTTCACTTTAAACAAAAAAGTAAATCAAATAGAGTGAAATTAAGATTGCGAATCCTCATAATTTTTACCTTGCCAATTAAACATTTAAATTTCATAATTTTATTCAACTTTATAGGATAAAAGTTGTTTAATAGACGATCATAGATTCAAATCGCTATTATTGTTTCATTTAATGTGCACACCCCCTTGTAATACAAACCAATAATAGCGATTTGAAACTATGATCTTTTGTTAAACAACTTTTATCCTAAGTTGAATAAAATTCTGAGATTTAAATGTTTAATTGGCAAGGTAAAATCATGAGGATTCGCACTTCTAATTTCACTTTATTCGATTTGTTTTTGTTTAAAGTGTAATTCATCAGTACGTTTTCACTGCAAACAGACTAAAATGGGGGTTACCATCACAAAGACATATCTGTCCTAAAGGAGGTTATCATCACAATAAGATATTTGTTACGAAGGGGGGGTTACCATCACAAAGACATATCTGTCCTAAAGGAGGTTATCATCACAATAAGATATCTGTTACGAAGGGGTTACCATCACAAAGACATATCTGTCCTAAAGGAGGTTATCATCACAATGAGATATCTGTTACAAAGGGGGTTACCATCACAAAGACATATCTGTCCTAAAGGAGGTTATCATCACAATAAGATATTTGTTACGAAGGGGGGGTTACCATCACAAAGACATATCTGTCCTAAAGGAGGTTATCATCACAATAAGATATCTGTTACGAAGGGGGGGGGTTACCATCACAAAGACATATCTGTCCTAAAGGAGGTTATCATCACAATGAGATATCTGTTACAAAGGGGGGTCTCCATCACAATGACATACCTGATCACAATGTGGAAATACAGTATAACATAAAAGTGAATGAATGTTGTTTAATGCACCAACCTCCTCTCTTCCTCCAGTTTGACTGTCATTTCTTTCTTCTCCTTCTCATACTCCAGGACAATGGCCCTCAGCTGCAAGATCTGTGTCTCACTGTCAGCCAGGATCCGTTCCTTGTCCTGCTTCACGTTGGTCAGTTCACCCTCAGCCTGGACATACAAACTCATAGTCTGCAGTCAAACTGGACATACAATCTTATAGTCTAAGGTAAACTGAACATACAAGTTCATAGTCTGCAGTCAAACTGGATATACAAGTTCACAGTCTAAGGTCAAACTGGACATACAAGATCATTGTCTGCAGTCAAACTGGATATACAAACTCACAGTCTAAGGTCAAACTGGACATACAAGATCATAGTCAAAAGTCAAACTGGATATACAAACTCACAGTCTAAGGTAAACTGAACATACAAGCTCATAGTCTAAAGTCAAACTGGATATACAAGCTCACAGTCTAAGGTCAAACTGGACATACAAGATCATAGTCTACAGTCAAACTGGATATACAAACTCACAGTCTAAGGTCAAACTGGACATACAAGATCATAGTCTGCAGTCAAACTGGATATACAAGATCATAGTCTGCAGTCAAACTGGATATACAAACTCACAGTCTAAGGTCAAACTGGACATACAAGATCATAGTCTGGATATACAAACTCACAGCAGTCAAACTGGACATACAAGATCATAGTCTGCAGTCAAACTGGATATACAAACTCACAGTCTAAGGTCAAACTGGACATACAAGATCATTGTCTGCAGTCAAACTGGATATACAAGCTCATAGTCTAAGGTCAAACTGGACATACAAGATCATAGTCTGCAGTCAAACTGGATATACAAACTCACAGTCTAAGGTCAAACTGGACATACAAGATCATTGTCTGCAGTCAAACTGGATATACAAGCTCAGTCAGTCAAAGGTACAAACTGTCTAAAAAGTCATACAAGATCATAGTCTAAAGTCAAACTGGATATACAAGCTCACAGTCTAAGGTCAAACTGGACATACAAGATCATTGTCTGCAGTCAAACTGGATAAACAAACTCACAGTCTAAGGTCAAACTGGACATACAAGATCATAGTCTGCAGTCAAACTGGATATACAAACTCACAGTCTAAGGTCAAACTGGACATACAAGATCATTGTCTGCAGTCAAACTGGATATACAAACTCATAGTCTAAGGTCAAACTGGACATACAAGATCATAGTCTGCAGTCAAACTGGATATACAAACTCACAGTCTAAGGTCAAACTGGACATACAAGATCATAGTCTAAAGTCAAACTGGATATACAAACTCACGGTCTAAAGTCAAACTGGACATACAAGATGATAGTCTGCAGTCAAACTGGATATACAAACTCATAGTCTGCAGTCAAACTGGATATACAAACTCACAGTCTAAGGTCAAACTGGATATACAAGCTCATAGTCTAAGGTCAAACTTGACATACAAGATCATAGTCTGCAGTCAAACTGGACATACAAGATCATAGTCTGCAGTCCAACTTGACATACAAGATCATTGTCTGCAGTCAAACTTGACATACATGATCATAGTCTGCAGTCAAACTGGACATACAAGATCATAGTCTGCAGTCAAACTGGATATACAAGCTCATAGTCTAAAGTCAAACTGGACGTACAAGATCATAGTCTGCAGTCAAACTGGATATACAAGCTCATAGTCTAAAGTCAAACTGGATGTACAAATGTTCAAAGTTTCTCGTCAAACTGGACATACAAGCTCATAGTCTAGGGTCAAAATGGATGTACAAGCTCATAATCTATAGTCAAAATGGACATAAAAGATCATACTCTGTAGTCAAACTAGACATGCATATAAACATAACATCTAATTGTCCTACTTGGTAACATATTCACGTATAAATCATCGTACTGAACATTGTAACCTACCAAAGGTCTTCAATACTCAGTCAAATCGCCATATTGCTCTCTGTAATCATAGATAAAAGAAAGTTATCTCCCTTACCTCATCCACCTGTGCGGCTGCTCTTGCCACTTCAGCTCTTTCAAGGTCGAGCTCTCTCAACAGTTGTTCTATATGCTCTTCCTTTTCTTTCAAGGCTTTCTGCAAAGTGTCCAATATTAACATGCAGATAGAAACACCAGGCTAATCTTCGCTATGTCATGGAGGGTCCGAAGTTTCCAACATTACCCAACAAGTAACAAATTCTAGTTTATATCTTGCAATGACTCAGGTTTGTCAGTCCCTTGATGATATTCCCTCATAGAATAAGTGTCCAAGCACCCCACATCTTGTCACATGTATGGTAGCTATGATACACAACCTGCCACTTATTGAAACCATGATGCTCACACTGTCAAACATGTTTGTGTATTTCTGACAGGATAATGTACTGTATTTACAACTGAATACTCAGGGGAGAGATGAAGCTGTGTTATGATAGTCAAACATGTGTTACCATGGCATTCATCAAGAAAGTTGGAAGAACTTTCCACAGCTCTCAGCTACAGCTACTTTACTAAAAATGACAGTTGGGGCCCTAGTCTGTCTCACAGTACCTGAACCACATTATTTCCCCATCCGCCTGTCATCACAAGTCTAGGGGAGATAACTCTCATTGGTGACAAAGGTTTCATTAACAGGGGCGTAGCTACCATTTTAAAAAAAGGCAGGGCTTACACGATTTTTGCCAAAAAGGTTGGGAAAGCCCTCAATACTATCTAAATATAAAGCTTTGCAACCTATCAGGCTTACACGAAAAATTGGCTTGCTATGCGCCTCATTAAACAGCTCTTTCTGCAAACAGCCCTAAATGAAGCAAGCCTGATTCTGAATCTCCCATCTCACTGGGCCTACTTTTTAATTTAAAAGGAATTATTTGTTTTTATCAAAATTATATATATTCAGAGTCTAAGTGTTAGCCTATTGGACCCCAAACAAACACCCAAATCACTTAGCCTCACAGCCCTTGCCCTCTCCCAGCACTTAGTATCATGTAGCACCAGCAGGAAATTACAAGAAGCATGTGGTACTTGGACCTAGTCTAGACCATATTTCCTACAGGTCATAATGGTGAAGGAAAGTTACAGAATACATATTAATGATTATTGGTGTCCATGCTGACAATCAATCAGGTCTATCTGATTGGTAAAGGTCCTGGAATAACTCTTGGTAATCAACATGAATGGTATCTTATTGCATTATAAGAACATCCTCTGGTACAATCAATGTTCTGAAGGACAAATACTCCATCCTGTGACAAATGAAAAATTATCTACTCTTTCTTTCAAGTTCTATGGAATAATGCAATGTGTCATCCAGGCTGGCTAGCTAATGGTCTGTAGGCTGCTAAAGGATATGATACTATTAAACTTATTTCTGACAACACGGCCTATCAGAAAAGTAGCACAACATTGGGGACAAATAGTCCCCCTGTTTCCACTTTATTAAGCAGTAGAATCTTTGTGAATATTGACAAAGTACTTTTGTTTTTTGTAGTTGAGTGAAAGTTGCCAACAGTCAGCAATGTTGCAGCTTATCGGGTCCAGAACATGGTTCATATCATGAACATGAAACTAAAGAGCACAAAGAAACACAAGTTCACATTTATAATAACCCGATCTCTACAGGTGTCAAACAGCATCAACACGTAACAGAAATGTATCAACTATTTTGGAACACATTGCAGCATGAAATTTATTACAGAAAAAACTATTTCCCATTTAGGAAGACTGTGTTTATACCTCTGGAGTACTGCCTTGCAAAGCTCCCCTATCAACAACAGGACAGGATTTTGTACAAGTTTAGTGAGATACTAAATACACAAGAGCTCTACAGGTTACAGAGGGAACACCCACCACCTGTGTAGATGACACCACTGACACACATGCTGATATACTGTGTGCAAGATTACATGATTACAGTGGGATGGCATGGTTGTAAAAGAAAACAACATTAAAGAAGCTGGACTTAACTTCTATATACAGTCAAATCCCGATGAGTCGAATCTCTGGGGACCAAGTAATAAATTTGTCTTATCGATGTATTCGAGACATAGGTATGTCTATGAGGGTAGAAAAGAAGATGATCCAGTCCTAATTCCTCCACCTAAGCATTTGTTTACCTATTGATTTCCCTATCACTAATAGGGGCACCTTATCAGTTCCAGTCTGATTAGCACAGACAGTGATTTCTGTAAAATCACTAATCTGCCTTTTGAACTCACCCGTCAATGGCGGAAAGGTGTGAGCAGCTGGTTTGTTAATTTGATCAGTTTGCTAGACTAATCAACTTCTCATTGACTGACTTCGGCTTATGTATACAAGATTGCTGTTGTTTGAATCTCATGAAACCAAATTTCCTTCTCGAGTTATCGTGTGTATTTATGAGACGAATTCGTGAAACCGGTATTCAAATGATGACAACTATAACAGGGAATGGTCAGGACCGACAGGTACTTCGAGTTATGCATAATATTCGAGACACCGGCATTCGACTCATCGGGATTTGACTGTAGTTTGATTCTGTTATGCTTACTGTAGATCTATTTCAATAACATGATAGCCTCAGTGAATTTTAACTCTACACTCTGCTAAAAGGATTATAAGTAAAAGGCTCAATGGTCTGTCAACATATGTGATACTTGTCAAAAATACCTCTAATCTCAGTGATGTTCAACATCTACTGTGCAGCTGAAGCAGGAGTTGGTCCTTGTCATGATGTTATTATTTCCTACAAAACTGTTGTAATCACAACCCTCCATCCACTGATCTCCATCATCACTGCGTGTCATTGAGTAATTAGTAAATCTCAGTTAGGGACACCAGAAATGGGCTTCTTCGTGAGTGAAATCAAACCCAGATGTTAAGCATGATATATGGGAGTTCTTGGCAACCAGAAACCTTCCATTCATGGGTCCATCATGAAGTGAATACTTGAAAGGAAAATTTATTGATGTCAACTACAGCAGACGTGTCTCTATTTTATGTATAAATGCTGATCACTAAGTCTGGAGAGACACTAAATCTGATTTCTTTGCTGCAGGGATTTCTTCTTTAAGAAATATGAAGCAAACACAGACTGAGATTCACAAGACAATCAGATACCTTCCAACCTATCTCACCAGGAGTCTATGAATCACCCATTATTGATTTTCCAGGAATATTTTTATTCAAGGAACTTGCATAACAAGCACATGTTTGAGCATCATTCTGGTTGTGTAAGGCTTGTGCGGCCACACTTCTCTTTATTATATCCGATGACAAGAAAACAAAAGTCTTACATAAGAACCAGATTAAACTTGATCCCTTGAAAATCTATTTACATCTGTCAGTGATGATAATTAATAAGTTTAAAAACAAATTAATGGATATTTCTCCTCTAGTTCAATACCATTTGAAATATATTTAGGCTTCTCAAAGTCATCTACAACACACACTTCTCAGTGTGAGTATAAGCGACATGTTTGGTTTGTTTTCTGAGCTGAACACTGTGTACATTAACATTGATGAATAAAGCGATGAGGTAACAATTTAAGTTGGAAATTTTTGGTCTATGGCAACATAAGCAATTACCATTTAGTGACCATAATTACCCACATGTAGGACTGATTAATGTTTCTATTTAAAATCAGTCCAATGAACCTTTGTTGCACCAAATGTTAAGACTACAACATGGGGTTGTCGGTGGTAGCCTTGTCGTGTTTAAAGCTATGCCTCGTCACATAATGATATGTGATGCCCATGTCGGATGCATCCTAGCTGTCACATATTTGGAATATTGGTAACATCTCACATACATGACTAGGATAGCAATGTATAAGCTTTCACTTTTGCTGGGACTCGGATATGTTTCATACAGTTAAACACATTAAATTAATGCTCCATGTATTTTGTTTTCAACATTTCAACAAAATTAAATAGAATTGGATCATCATTGAACTGTCATAACTCTTATTACACATCACAATAAGTTTATCAGGATAGAATAATTACGAACTGAGACTGAAATATGTTTTCAACCATACCTACATACCTACTGACTCCAACCATACCTACATACCTACTGACTCTACAGACTGACAGAAGTTTTCAACCATACCTACATCCTGAAGCCCTACATTAATCAAGGATTATTCCATGTATGGCTGTCAGTATGGGTGAATTAGACAGACCCACTCACCTGGAGGGCAGATGTGGTAGCAGACAAGTTAAGTGAGCTTGGTCTTTGGCCGCTTTTGGAAGCCTGCATGTTAGTTAAAGTAGATATATGCATGAGTGATGGCAGTTAGTGAAAGAGTATACAAGGTGAAGTCTAGATACATGTAAATACATAGGTGAAAAGTTGACCTATATCCTGCTGCTGTGAGAGTACTCTGGGAGTTTAGTGATCCTGACCATTGTCAAAGGATCACAACTCATAAAGGCAAAAAACGTGGATAGTGCATCTGCACTAAGAGTAACTGTGGGCAGTGCATCTGCACTGAGACTGAAACTGTCGAAAACACAGAACAGCCGCCAATAGTTCACCAGAACTATCATAAAACACAACTCAGACCACAAAAGCATTTGTCAAAAGAGTCTCAGAGAACTGCAAATGTCACAGTAATTAAAATGAAGCTGCATTAATTTTATTTTCATATCATTACAATCACCAAAGACGAAACCTGAAACATAGGAATGGGACTTGTACAATAAGATATGCTTGTGTAGGCATCGGTGATTCACTAGAAGATAGCCTGTATACTCCATCTCACTACACACAGCAGCCGGATAAAGGAAAAACTCTCATGACACGCCACAAGTCAGTCATTACTGATTTTACTTTTCAAAATCTTTCCACAATCCTGCATGAAGAATATTTCATAGCTGCAACTTGGGGTACATCATGAGCAACATTAAAAAGTTAAAGAGATTGAATTAGAAAATTTGTACATAAACTTAATGAAGAATATATGAGTAACCAAACCTCAAAATGTGATTGGTTCATCTGTTAAGAAAAGTTAAATTCATTTTAATCATTTTTAGAGAATTTATTACACAAGATAAAATTTGCTGATAGAAAAATTAGAAAACTGACTCTTTACGATTGTAAACATTATTCAACAACATAACACACTGATGTTGATGATGATATCTAAGAAGCAATGGTCTATATCCGGCAGTACATAATCATGCACATGCACAAAGGAGATACAATTGCAATATTCAGCAAGAACATTTTGGACTGTTCTAAAGATTACAGAAAAACACTAAATATTTACACGTCCAATAAACAGATTAGTTAACTAGGGACTGCACTGAAATTATTTGAGCATGAATATTTTTGACTAGCGACGAATAGTCCTGAATGCTCTAATCAGCAATAACGGTGACATCAGAGGGTGGTCAACAGAACTGCCACATACACTGGTTCCATTTCAAACTGACACCTCAAGATGCTCTGATATCATGATCTTCAAAACGATCAACACTTTTTAAGGAGATACTGTGTCCACCATTTGAAGTTATTGATACTGATTAGCAATCTTGAAAAAGACTCCAGAGAAGATTCTGAACATTTCATCTGTACATCTCGATGTGAACAGCTCACAATGGCACCAATACTTCAGTACTACTGGGTATTACATGAGGTCATCAAATATAACAGTTGTTTCACTGTACGACTGGAACTCACGCTCATTCATAAGTGGTGAAATAAATTATGATCACTCTATTTCAGTTTAAAGGCACAATTTCACACATTTTCGACAATATTTTGGCCTATATTATAAATATTGGGGCATATGCACTCAATTTAGCTTCCTATTGATGGAATGAAAGACTTTATCATCCCTGATAATCGATAATTGAAACTTCGAGGTGAACAGCTTCCAAACAGAGAACACTTGCCATATATGGAATGTAAACAATTGCTCCGTACATCAAAAACTGTCACACGCAGTGTTGTCGGTGTTTGCCAAACTGGTTTCAATCACAAGTTGCGTGTATGTTTTTGCGCCAGAGTCAATTCAATACAACATTGTATCAATTCATTCAACTTTTTAATTTAATATTGTAATCTAAATACGTAATCCTGTTTAAATTATATGGTATCCCTGAGGGCTGATAGTTAGTATTATTGAGAGAAATGCATTATTTATTTTGAGAGAAGTGGGGTGTGAAATAGTGCCTTTAAGAAAAGTTTCATCCCATGTGATTGAAAAAATAATTCCTCTTAGTTTGTGTCTATACTATTTCCCACATCCATTGATTGGCTGCAGATAACAAACCACATGTCTCGAACTGTACATAGCATGTATACAGTATCTGAGATACCCAGTTAAAAGACAGGTAAGTAACTGACTTTATCATGTATCTAAGAGTAAACTTTCTGGAGGGCAGGAAAAAGAAACCTGTTTTCTTACATTCATGGGCAGGTGACAAATTTATAGGTACACTGTTAAAACCAGGAATTGTCTAGTCTGGAGAATACCTTTAACATGGGGATGTTTATTGGTGAGTAGTTGTGTACTGCATTATGAAGTCTGTATGTAACAGAGAATCCTGCTGATATGATTACTACTCCCACATGTATTTTGTGTGAAGGTTCTAGTAGTTCTTTAGATGGGCTCTATCTTTAGAATAACTATTAATACTGAAAATCGTGTTCTTGATATGTCACTGAAGTGTAAACAATATTTCATCTTATTCCGGCTTAAGCACAGGTTTTTCTATGTTACAGAAGTTACATAGTTCAAAGATATGATCAGACAAAACAGAATATAGTATATTTAGTATTAATAATGATAAAAGTTCATAACATATTAACAACATTTAGTTTTCAACAACACCAAACAACCAAACATAAACCACCAAAAGAACTGGGGGAAAAGCATGAGCAAGAAATTGTAAAGAAAACTTAATATTATCCATCACGTCAAAATATGATTGAATAATACACATTTATTCAACCACAACAATAAAAAATATTACAAGACAACAACCAAAAATTCAATCCTCATATGCACAACATCACCATTTTTGTTTTGTGCTAAAAGGACATATTACAGAGGTTGTCTTTTTCAAGCATTATCTGGATTCAAGTAGGAAATCATGAACTCAATGAAAAATGTCTTCACATTCTTTAGAAGTTTGTTTGGGATTGTGTATGTTTATGTTGATTATCACATTAGTAAGGTAGTTACACTGGAATTAATCCGAGGACTACACATTAAGTTAGGTATATGTGTTGATATGTGTCGGAGTTAAGATGTCTGGCGGAGTATGTTGATATAGAGTATTAACCACGCAGGAACTACCCACAAACATGATGATGGGATCATCTGTTGGGATTGTAACTGTCCATCTTTCATGTTTCTATCAACTTACCCCCAAATAATTGATCAAAACTTTACTTCATACTTAGAGAAATCCAAAAAGTAAACTTTAGTTCTTCCTTTCCCAATTGCCTTTCAAAGAATGGCGATATGTCTCTTCTGGTAAACTTGTGAATAAATTTGGGTATCAGATATATCTTCTATCAAAAATTGCGATTTATAATTGACATTGAGACAAGTGTTTTGGGTTGAAATAATTACACTTAACTGTTTCAAAAAAATCATTTTGATTTGTTACAATTACAACACTGAGCGACAGGAGTGATCTCTCCAATCCCCCTGCAGTGATCTCCCTTGCCTGCACCAATGATTCCATCATCCCACATTAACTACTGAAAGTATTCTAGCACTACAGGTACAACTGAAGGGGGCCCTGGATGCACAACAGTTATGTACATGCATGCAGCTTACCAATGCAGTCGATTTCACAACGGTCATGTACGATTTAAAAGGGTGTAGTAGAAATAAGGATCTCTATAATTATTCTAGGACAAATGTAGTTTTCAAAAAAATATTAAAGACATGTTTGATTAGACCAGCTCTTGCCAAAGACTTATCAAAAGACCACAATTTGAGAAAATGAACCATGATACATTTTAATGTAATGATCTACGATCTAGAAGCAAAGGGAGATAACTCCATCACCAGATTGTGGTTTACACAGGCAGTAACAAAACACAAACATAACAGTTAGTCGAAGCAGACCAAAATAAATGACGTAATGAACTGATAAAAAAGTGAACGAAAATGACAACTAAATGATGTTTTTGATGACATTAGCTATAAAAAGAACCATCTGATTTAAAAATATTAACAAGACAAGAACTATAGAAGATCTGAAGACACTAAATAAATCCAGAGATGGTTAACTACCATGCAAGAAAATCATAAACAGAGATCTAGGAACATCCATCCATGTATGCAAAAGTTCACCCATTATGCCAATGAATGCAAATAATCCAGAGCATAAACTTCATGGTCTTTCAATAAGCTATGGCAAAGAACTGGTCTTGACACTCGTGAAAAGGGACACAATATCGAAAGAATTCCACGGCAATATTGTTCACACTTGATTACTCTGACCAATAAAGCGTGATGAAAGAAAAGCATCAGTAAGTGAGCATGTACCTGATTGGCCAGGGAGGTTATGCCCAACCTTACCCGGCTCCGGGATACACTAGACGCGGTTGAGCTGACCGAACTAATTGACTCCTGGCTTCCTGATCGCTCACGTGCACTACGCAAGCTGGTGTTTGCAAGACTGCGTGACTGAGGGCTAGGAGTTGCCCCTCCTGCATAGCGGGAAACCTTGTGTATGGGGGCAAACAACCCGAAGTTGAGGCGACAGTCAAAGTACCTGGAAAATACAATGTGTCACAATGAGAGGATGAGGTGGATTTAACAGTGCTTTGAAAAACAGTTCAGTTGAAGCATCTCATGTCGGCATAATGTAAGGGACTTAGGAAAGCCCAAATACAGACTCACGATATTGATGAAGACCACTATCGGTGCAAACTTTAATTAAGAAATTAAGATGCCTTACTTCAAAGAACAGATATTCCATTATTAAAAGGGCGGGGGGGTTAGCCTAGTGGTTAAGGCGTTCGCTCGTCATGCCGAAGACCCATATTCGATTCCCTACATGGGTACAATGTGTGAAGCCCATTTCTGGTTTCCACCGCTGTGATATTGTTGGAATGCTAAAAGTGGCGTAAAAATCAACTCACTCACTCCATTGTTCATACTCCTTTAAGAAACTGCAACATTTTCTATGTGTAACAAGCGTAATTCTAACAGCATGATCACTATTAGGGCTGGGACGATTCACTGATGCACCGATACATCGCGGAACATTTAAGTTTGATACAGCTATCGTATCGTCGACTGGTGTATCGATACACAACTTTCTTTCAAAAAAGTAATATTTTATACATGTTAAAGTACTTATTTAGAGAAAAATACGCAAGTTTTAAAAGTTTACAACTCACGTTAAACTAGCTGTCTGTTCAGTAATATTCGCCTACTACCAGCCATTCATTTTAAATCATAGTACCGTGTCATTCTTTCAAGGTGTAAATATCGTGATACGTATCTTATCGCAGGTAAAATATCGCAATACATATCGTATCGTGACATCCGCCATATAGCTTGAATATTGCTGAGTGCGGTGTAAAACTAAACTCACTCATTCACTCGTATCGTGACATAGTGTATCGTCCCAGCCCTAATTACTATACAACTTTAATGTAGAATCAGCAGACAGACACGTGGTGTGTGTGGGACCTGCATCAAACTTTCTAGCAATGTTAAATTGTCTTGTGGAGCATGCCCTTCTTATGCCATTGTTGTGTCTGCGATTTGATTTGAAAATATTACAATTATGTCCACAATCTTCATCATTGAACAACTGTACAAGTAATGGACACAACACTGAACAATACCATGTGACACTTTGGACCAGGTCCAACCAATGACCCGTGTTAATGAATGAGTGTGTGAGCAAGTTGTGATGACACTGTGGGCAATATTCAAGTAAGATAATATCAGGGATCACCAGGCTTCAAACAATGTAGGGGTGGTGGGTAGCCTAGTGGTTAAAGCGTTCGCTCATCATGCCGAAGACTTGGGTCCCTACATGGCTACAATGTGTGAAGCCCATTTCTGGAGTCACCCACCATGAATATTGCTGGAACATTGCTAAAAGCGACGTAATACCTAACCTTTTTTACTCAAACAATGTACGCATGTGTGGAATAAATTGCTTGAAGAAACAAGTTAAAACGTCGACCACTTGATAGGCTACCCACACAGCGCTCATAAACAACTGAATTGTTCTGTAGCCAGATAATTTCTTGACACAAATACTCATATCATAAAGTGGAGGAAAGTTATCAAGGGTAATCACGCTTCATGTTGAATTTTTGGAGAGCCAAAAATGTTAATCGACATAATAACCTTTCATTTTGGAAATAATTTCTACATGTTTTGTTTTATTCTATTGTATGAGTAATACATTTAATATATTTCCTACGAAAAACATTTCCTGTCCATCAATTATCTGAAGGCCCTGAAGTAGACCTCAGCTTACCTTTTACCAGCAACAGCACCATCATTCTTCCCCTGTGGATCATCAAGCTCCACCCCTGCCCATTCTCCTTTGGCAAAATCGGTCTGTCCCACTTATCTCAAGATTCCACATTTTGATCCGCTCACGACAACACGATCTCCAACCTTAACCCCATGCTTGGTCATGGCAAGGCCTCCTCGATGCAGATTGGTGGTGGAGGTAGGTGGTGAGTCTTTGTTTAAGCTCACATTTGAGCCCGATTTGGACTTGGATCCAGAGAGTCCAATCCGTGGAGTTTGTGATCGTGCAGGTGTGTGATTTGATGTCCCATTTTGAGCACTGCCCTGGCTGGTGGATATGTCGCTCCCAGCTTCGGCAGGTTTAGGTGTTGGGGCGGAAATCGGACCTTGTGTCCGGGACAGTTTGGATAGACGAGAAAACACGCCTTTCATTGGCTCACACTGAAAGTATCTTACCCCGGCTACACTGCCATCATTTTTACCTATTGGTTCATCGAGGGCAACCCCAGCCCATTCTCCAGGAGCAAACTGTGCTTCACCAATGAATGCAATCACACCTGGCTTCGTTCCTCCGACCCAGACACGATCACCGATCTTGAGATCATCTGTGCCATTACCTGATGGAGGTGTGTTTTCTGGACCTGAAGAAATTACGCCAAAATTGTAACCATGGTTATCACAATTCTTCCCTAAATATTAGTATTCTTTTCTAAACACAGCTACAAAATACTCTAAATGATCATAAATGAAACTCCAACTACCAGTACCTTGTCCACTTGTGTTATCAGTACACACAACTGGTTTAGAGAACACTAAGTCTGCTACAGAAATACTTCTTCTGAAGATAGATGAACTGTTTCCTATAATTCTTCCATGTCCTCCTGTCACAACAGTGAGGATGGCATAAACCAAACAGGTCCAAATGTCAAGGAAACATTTCACACAATAGGTTCTCAGATCATCACTGAATCTAATCTGCCATGTATGTTTAAATACACATCAAGACCATGTATTTGCACTATAGACATGTTAAACCTTCAATCTCACCTATCTATAGGCTAGTTTCAATTACAGAATGAGAAATGACAAAATTCAAAGGAAGCTGTGCATGCTGACATGCAATGGATATTGAAAGGAAACATGGCATTCTGGCACCATGCATCTTGACTCGCCCTTGGTCTAAACACTGAGTACAGACATTTTCTACACATCAGTCCTTCCTGGAATCCGCGATTCCGCGGTTGCAGAATAAATCGCGAAAATTACCTTTGGAAGGAAAAATGCATTTTCATGCAGAATACCTACAGAATTTACCATTTTTCTGCCGTGGAATTAATTATTTTGAAAGTTGAATCAATATTAACTAACAACCGAAACGAAAAGTAGGGGTAAATATCAAAAGTATGATTGGTTACACAAAAATGAACTGAGACATTTGTTATAACGATATTTTCAAAATATTTACGAATAAAGATGATATATTCATAAGGTAATATTTTCTTCAGCACCTTACAATAATATTATTTGGATTTGACACTGCAAATTATGTTCACAAAATCGATCTTTCCGAAGGTTGAAATTGCATGAATTTGTGTGGTTTTCCAAGTTTTTAACTGCAGAATTTTGAAAAATGGGATGCAGAATTTACTTAAATTTGCCGCGGAATTCTTAAATTTTTGTGCGGAATCCAGGAGGGACAGACACATTAAGGAACACATGTCATATGTTGTCATCTGTCCCATGTTAAGGTAACCTTCAGGACCAGGGAGTGAATGTTGCTGAATGCCTCACCACCAGTGTTCCTTTAAAACCAAGATCAAATACATCTGATTCACATAGGCTGGACCCTGAACCCTAGTCTGTCTCAGTCCCTGAACTATATTATTTTTCCCTTCAAAACACCCCTTGATGGAGTACTAAAATCCCTATGAAGCAAGTCTAGATTTCCTCAGGTTCAGGATCCAAGTTCAATGGGGCTCCCTTTAAATTTCAAAGGAATTATTTGTTCTGTCCAAATCAAATGCATTCAGAGACTAAGCGTTAGTCTACCTTGAAACCGATTCAACCAGGAATTTTGAAACCCTTAGGCCTGAAAGTGTTCCACAGTTACATACCTACTTTGTACCCTGCACATTCCCTTGATGTAACCATAAATTATCAGCCATATCAGAACCCAGGAATTACTGATGACTCATTTATGAAATCATTGACAAAAGAGGTACAAAAGATGTGTATTAAGGACATCTATTATTGTCACAAAGGCTTATTCTGTCTTTCTGTGGAACATGTCACAACTAAATCTGCATATTATAAAATGACCTTCGCTGTTTTCTACATCAAAACAAAAGATAAAAAAGAGTAAGCTATATCAACTTCTAAGATAACTATCCTAAATAAGGATCAAAATAATACAGGTGATTTTGATGCATTAGTTTCAATGTCTTAAATTTATCAGAAACAAGAAAGAAGAAGTAACTTTAAATTTGGAAAGAACAAAAGGAAAGTATTTTCAGGAGAAATTGAAATCATGCTAAGGTTATGTTCTTGATAAACGAGTATCTGTCCTTAGTATGTGTCCTTGATGACAAACATATATATATCCTTATCCTTTCCAATTACTAACATATTTTTTGTATGTCTAGACAGCAAGAAAACCAGCATCTCACATCTCAGATGTGTAGCAGCAGATGTATTTGTGAATACATTTGCACCGAAGATTCTCCGTGGAGAAGAAAGGGTAGGCTCAAGAATCCCTGTCATTACTTAACCAAGGCTTACGACCTTTTCTCTTCTGTTACATGTTCCATTTCCTGCATTTTATATTCTGTGTTTCTGTCATCTGTTACATGGCCTCAAAGACTCATTTTTAACATTTTCAACTTTCAAGTCAAGATTTCTGATGTATTTATCAAACTAATAATTACGATTATCATGAATCTAAATAGAACTATTTTGTATTTCTAAAGTGACTTTATACCTCTTTGAAACCGAAAGGAGAAATTTTCCAAATAGTTGCAACATGCATAATTTTCTTAAACCAAACAAATCAGGAAGAACAAAGTAAGTGTATAGAAAGTGAAACTCTGTGTGAGAACCAACCCATGCTGGTCGTACGAGACAGCATAATCATGTGGTCTGGCTCTATGACATGTCCAATGTATGTCATTGTATCCCAACAACAGTGATTAATGCTCATGATGTAACATACTGAATTAGAGCAATGTCTTGTCTAGACTTGATTATGTCCAGATATAACAAATATATATGGATCACAACTTCTTTACTTCTAGAGCACGACATTTCGATACAGGTTCTTTTACTGATACAGTTTAGTTTTCTTGTATTAAGTATCTGTATTGAAACATCATACTCAAGAATGAAAGAAGTTGTCTTCCATATATACTTGTTCTACATGACTTCCAACTTCTAAAAATGCCACTCAAAGAAGTTGATTATGTCCAGATCATACAGCTGGAATATTACTGGTCAGGGACTCCTTTCATGAAGCAACATTTACTAAGGTTTACCTTAACTCCCATTCTGTAACATTGCACTGGGGTTACCTTAGTGACTTACGATCACCTTAGTGCTTTGTGAAAGGAGGCCCAGGTGTTGCGTATCCAATAAATAACGCTTCCTATATTTTCAGTTTGTGATATGATCAATACTATTAAGTGATGAAACAAGGATAAATTATGTTACCCCAAAAACCATTCAGGTTAAGATCTACAACATCAAAATGTCTTAATGAGTCATCAGAAATGTCCTATACCCTGAGAAAAACACTTTCAGGAAATCTGCCCCTTCAGTGTCACCAAGTAACAAGACACATGGCTTGCAACTACAGCAGGAGAAACAACATATGTTTCACACCCCTTAATAATGATGACATAAATGTAAATTCTTAAATATAAAACAGATTCTTCTGACGAGAAAGTATACCTTTAACATTGGACAAAGATCATCAGACGCCTGGGCGAGTGCTTATTTCCTTAAACGTATTGACATTTCACAACTGCACTATAAAACAACACAAATGGCAGCTTAAGACATTTAGGTTGTCTCCTTAAAAAGTTCCGTGTTGTGTTACCTCGGAGATGAGGAGGATGGTTTGTCGAGTATCTCTCCGCCTGACTGGCTGACAGTCCAGCTGTTCTCTTAGCTAGAGCACCTTCAATAAACAGCACACACATGCAACATCCACAGCAAAAAACAGGCAAAAAACAGAATAATATCAAGCAGAAACAAATATTCTCACTCAAAATACACTTGAATAGAGATAAAGCACAGATATGCAAGCTGAAAGGAAACAGAAAGAGTTATGGATGAAACCAGTACTGTAAAGACTACAATAAATGTCAGGTTAGTGGGATCCTAATCTATATTCAAACTATACAAAAACTAACACACTGCTTGATGACAATCATTGAAAACAAGAGGCACTTGTCTTAATGCTAATAGTTATTGTAAAATATTTAGTAGGTTCCAAAATTCATAAACCACAGCAACCGTCACCACGGACCAAGAAATCAAAATGTTTTGAATCATAATTAGATTGGTATCTGGAGTAACTTGATCATTCAAAGGTCACATGAAATATCTGGAGAAATCTTAAGAAATTGGAAGAAATTGGATTCAAAGTGTGAAACCTTGATACTAAAAACTTTTTTTTTCGAGAGTGGAGATACTTAGATTGTTTATCTTTTTCTACATTCGGTAGACAATTATTTATAGTTTATATTGTACTTCCTATGACAATTATGTATTGAATAATCATATTGGTAATTGTCCTTGCCCAGAAAATACACAGAAGTAAACGTATTCATGTGCTAATGGAAAAATATTATTTAAAGAAAACACTTCATTAATAACAATCTGTCAGCCTATTCTATTTTGGTCAAATGGTGTATCTGGCAACATTTGTCATTCACTTCGTGACTACTTAAACTTATTTTAACATTAGAAACTCCTCACATGATCTCATAGTTTTCATTAACAGCTCAGAAAGTAAAACTTTAAATGACTTAACCCTTGCACAAACAAGTCTGATTTCATGTACTGTTCATTACAAGTTCAGCTGCACCAACAAGGACATTAAAAAAATGAGACAAGTAAGAAGAGTAAGAAGAACTGCTATATAAAATCACAGTGTAAGTTTCCAGGGCAGCATGTGCATCTGGCTTTGTCTGAGGGTGTTAAGTTATCTGCCAGGAGAAAACCAGCTGACGGTGTCATGTACTTATCAGTTAGACAATCTCTGATATCCTCAATCTCAAGGACTGCAGTTCTGAGCTTTATGTTAGCTTAGCTACCAGTACCACACAAAAGAGATCAGGGGAAAATCATGTACAGTCAAATCCCGATGAGTCGAATCTCTGGGGACCAAGTAATAGATTCGACTTATCGATGTATTCGAGACATAGGTATGTCTATGAGGTAGAAAAAAAGATGATCCAGTCCTAATTCCTCAGCCTAAGCATTTGTTTACCTAATGATTTCCCTATCACTAATAGGGGCACCTTATCAGTTCCAGTCTGATTAGCACAGACAGTGATTTCCGTAAAATCACTAATCTGCCTTTTGAACTCACCCGTCAATGGCGGAAAGGTGTGAGCCGCGCTGGTTTGTTAATTGGATCAGTTTGCTACACCAATCAACTTCTCATTGACTGACGTCGGCTTATGTATACAAGATTGCTGTTGTTTGAATCTCATCGTCATCGTGTGTATTTATGAGTCGAATTCGTGTAACTGGTATTCAAATGATGACAACTATAACAGGGAATGGTCGGGACCGACAGGTACTTCGAGTTATGCGTAATATTCGAGACACCGGCATTCGACTCATCGGGATTTGACTGTAATTAAATTAGACACCAATGAAATTAGACACCAATGAAACTGTGATGACACATTTGTACAGAACATGGCATACCAGATTTGACATTTTCATGGTAGCTGAAATTTGGTTTGAAGAAGTAAATACATTTTGGTTTCTAATTATTTGATGCTCATGCTGTTGATCACTGGATTGTCTGGTCCAGACTCGATTATTTACAGACCGCCGCCTTATAGCTGGAATATTGCTGAGTGCGGCGAAAAACTAAACTCACTCACTCACTCTAGTTATTTGAAATGTCTAAGTATTTAATTGTTATGTTATTCATTATTAGAATCATTCACAGTAAATTTACTTATTTTGTTTTTCATCTGTAGTGCAGTTCTTACTACCCTATTATCTTTAGAAATCTTTAAATTCTAATTTTAATTTACTAACCAACAGCAACCAATGATTCACCAATGATTCACTAACCTTGCTTAATGCTATCATTGCATATGAGTTGTATAAATCAGTGCTCATGATGTCAATCACTGGATTGTCTGGACGGTCCACCAGACTGGATTATTTACAGACTGACATCATACTGCTTGAGTTTAACAGCAAACAAACAAACTTTCCAGCTATATGGTGGTGCCTGGTAAATAATCATGTTTCAACCCGTGACTAACAGCATGAGCCAAGATTCACATCAACACACAATCAGCCAATAACAGAATCTAACCATCCAATCCATTCTAGCCGACTCTGACACTGACAATAACATCGCAGGAATCCCATGGGGGCAACCATCTCTGAACACTTCCAAAATTTGGCAAAGAGTAAGATAACGAAATAATCTGTTTTATGCAAAAAGACCATATATGGCAATAGTTGTTTGTGAGAGTATAAGTTTAATATTTGTCATGTTAGAAATTGCGTTATCACTGTTTTTGGTTTGATCTCAAACTGACAGAAATACATTTCCATAACACAGAGCAATGAACTTTGTGCCAGGAGACTCACTGCACAAACTGAACTGATTATACGATTAGACCAAATTTTAATACAGATTCAAACCAAGACTTTGTGATATAGACAAGAAGTAGATAGCATGTGTAAATGATACAGAGCAAAGGCAGATAACTCATGATGAGGATGTGGACCAGAGGTTAATACCTTGTGAAAGAGGAAAGATGAAAGGCAGGTAACTCAGGAAGATGATACAGGCAAAAACATATATACCACCTATTGATGATAACTAATGAATGTAATATAAACTGATGGTAGGTTGATGATTCATGAAAATGGTATAGATGAAATTATTATATAGAGTTTATGAATGAAGACAATGAAATGTTATTCCATGAGTAGACTCAATGCCAGTACTATGCATTACTTTAAATCTCTTACTGAACGTGCACTGAAAATCAAAGAACCAATCTAACTAAAGACATACACAATCTACATGATGTTATTATTTAGAGAGTTTTAGTTTAGTCATTTTTTCAATTAGTTTGCTATTTAGGGTTTTGCATCTTCAATGTAGTAATATCTTAGAAGGGACAGGGGTAATGAGTTTCATGAAACCTAAACATCTTGTCATTTTCATTTTACAATTTAACAATGCTTTTAAAAGAATATCTTCCTGTATTTCAGACCATGGGTGTTGAAAATAATTTTTCCAGTGTTAACAAACATTGAATCAAAATTGATTTGTCCCCACTTTATCATTGATATATAACAATTATACTTCAAAGCCAAAATGCACACATGCATTGGACTATTCAGTACACACATAAACTGACAACAGTCAACAAACACTGTAAACATTGCAATGTCCATTTCACATCAATTTCCCAATCTTGTTCCAACATGTAAATTTATAGTATAATTTCCGAGATGATATATGTTCCTGCAATAGATTAATAGTAAACTTACATGTGTGTAAAATGCTCTACCTGGAACTATGCAAATTCTGTTACTTCTTGTCATAATACAATGAAACCTTCTTCAACTGAAACTCCATTAACTAAAATACATTTTAGGAGAATTGGACCAGTGTTTCTGAAAAACTATTGGCCGATACTAGCTCTGTCAGCATGATCACAAAGACCTGGTTTCACTTAATGTCACTACATATAAAATACCTGAATATTTGCCTAGTAACCCTAGTTTTGAAACGTGAATGAAAACTGCAATGTAAGGCTATGTAATAACATGAAAAAAACTGCAGAATAGAACACTTCAGAATGCAAAGCAAGAGACTAAGCAGGGTAAATAATAGTGACACAAGCACTGTAGCTCACCTGGGTATGTAGTGATCAGATTAATTTATTTAACAGATTAAAAAGTCATTGAACAGAGGCTGCTGTCACTGTGGATAATTAAAATATTTCCTGCATCAATACTGAAACCAAAACTATTAACAAAAATAAAATAAATAATCCGATTTCCACTATGTTTACCAAACTACAAGTATGAATGTACAATGTGCAAGAGTTAAGGTCACAGTCAAATCTCCATGATTTGAACAAAGCATGAAGTCATCCTCAGGAGAAACAGCTCCCTTTAGTCTCGTAGATTCAAAGAAGATGCTAAAGGTGCATTTCCAGATAATTAAAGGCAACAATATGTTTTGATTGGAAACGGCTAAGTCATGGCACTAAATAGGTTTTTCATCATAGATGCCATGTTACTGAAAATCATATCATAAGAAATTGAACAAACTTCTCATTGGCTACAAGCAGGTCAAGTTCAAGCTTTATTGCATGGGAGGAAATGATGTATACAGTGTGAAGAAATGCATTCTAACAGACATCTGAAGAATGTTCCAAAATGAAAACGTGAAATAAAAGTAAAAAATTGAAATATTGGGAAAATGTACAAACTACACATATTCCAAATTTCATTACATTCTGAACAAAACAGAATGAGCAATAGTGGCCAATAATGAATGTTTTTCATGATCACCAACGATATCATTGATGCAAAGGGACGATGGACAAGCATGCCATGACATAACCACCACTTTTGACTTTCAGTCAGGTGAGGTACAGATCTGACAATGTATTTTACAGTGAGCACTGAAGCAAGGGATGTCTTTATGTTAGGGTGCATGGCTTACTTTGGGGCCTACTTCCGGAACCTGACCCAGGAGCGGGAATCCCGGAGTGGCGCTGTGTCCCAGACCCTGGCCGCGTAATCTTGGTCGGGGCCTTCAACCCTGTTGGACGCGGTAGGCTCATTCTGCTGTTGTATCAGTTGCTACTGCAAATACATGAAAACATACAATAAAACCCAGCATATAATCTGACTGCAATCGAACACACTGCAGGCATTGGCAGTCAACTCAACTGGTAATGTCAACAATATTTACCTGAACAGTTTAAGAAAATAAACAAGTGCACTGAGTAGGAAAGCTGAAGCAGCTATGAGAGTTCAGTTTTACGCCGCACTCAGCAATATTCAACCTATATGGCGGAGGTCTGTAAGTAATCGAGTCTGGATCAGACAATCCAGAGATCAACAGCATGAGCATCGATCTACGAAATTGGGATACCATGACATTGGACACGTCATTGTATCCCAATTTCGTAGATCGATGCTCATGCTGTTGATCTCTGGATTGTCAGAGAGCCTGACCACCCGATCCTGTTAGTCGACAAGCATGGGTTACTTTACGGGTCTAATCGGCTATTTACTCAAACAGTAAGTGAATAGTATTTCACCTTAATGGTGATGCAATTATCACTGAGACCGTCAGCGTTGCAGTGGTGCAGGATATATTATTGTAGGTTGTGATGAGTGTCAGAAGCACAAAGTGAATGATGCACCAGTAACATATTAAATGCTACTAATTATAGAATAGTGGCATCCCTACTGCAGCCAATAAGATGAGAGTCACTTCCCTTAGTTATCTACAACAAAGGAAAGGGCTACATCATTCTAACAAGAGGTGACAATTTCTGGAAGGCTTGCTCTACCTACACAAGAATATGAGAGCCTTTTTGGGATTGGACTTGCTTTTTATCCCAGCCCATACAGGACACCTTTGTGGAAACTTCCTGACACCTTCCAACATTGTTTCGAAGATTCAAAGCAGAGCACAGGCCTGATTCAAGACAACAGTGACATATTCTGGACATCTATGTGTGAACTGACATCTAGCATAGGGCCTGTTACTAACCACTGCTCAAACACATATTTCACACATTATGTCATATCGGAGGATTGTAACTGAAGTCTACATAGCTTCAAACTTTGCTGAAACCAACTCGCTATGTATAACATATTTCAAACACAAATTAATTTGAATGACCTTTCATGTTGAATTATATTAATCTATTATAGTTAGTAGAGATGGCAGTTTTTTTAAAATATCAGAAATGTCAAATATTTCATTTCATTTCATTATGTTTTCCATGTCGGCAAATCTGTAAACCAAAAGGAAGTAAACATCAATTGACTTATGTTGGTCATAGAGTTTGTCCTTACACTTAATTTCCTGTTTGTCGTGACCAACGACATACATTTTCTTTATCAACACAATCAATAAAGACAAAAAAAATCTCACTAACATTTATTCAGTCATACCTCAATTCCATGTGTCATCCAAATTCTCAAACACAAACATAATTTTTCGTAAACTGATCTTGTAAAACGACTGACACCTCAAGCAAACTAACAATTTCATCAAGCAAGCACAAATCTGTGTAGATGCTAAAGACAAACCCTGCATAAGGCAAAGCAAGCTTCAAGTAATGTTGGTTTGTTGACCTAGGGGGTAGAGCTCAGTAATCTCAACAAAGAACCCAAGTTGGACACCTTTCTGACATCCCCTCCTTGCTAATCAGATGAAATACCAACAACTTACTTTCAAACATCTGTTGCAGGGGACTGTCTCAAAAGTAATAAATCATTAATGTGACAGGTTTCCGATGGTCTAGGCTGAGAATAGACAGTGCCTCCTGATTTAATGCAGAACTGATTTATCAGAATCTTAGAATTCTTGATGAGAGATGTATTGATTTAAACACAGGGTACTTAACAGGGCTCGATTTAGGAGATGTTAACCTACTTGCACCAGGTGCAACCTGAGATAAAAACCTAGTTGCACCAGCCAAATTCCAGTTGCACTGCTTTTATGGCAATATGTAATGAATGGAATATGCTATTGAATTATTTAGATGTTTTATTCAGAAGTTTACCCACTCAAAAATTGACCTGCACCTTGTGCAAGTAAGACAAATAACTACGTTGCACTTTGTAATATTGGCTAGCATCAGTGCAAGTAACAAAGCACTAAATCGAGCCCTGCTTAAGTATCGGCGAAGCATCAAACCATATGGCCAGTGAAATGCAAAATCAAAAGTCCACCAAGATAAAATGTCTAAAATTTACAATTAAAAGGTGTTTTAATATCAGTTATTTATATTTAATTTTCTAAACCATCTTTATTTATTTGAAATAACAATCTGAGATGAAAACATTTTTGAAGGAACGGAAACATAATACAATGGAACTACAAAATTATTAGCTCTGATCTCTTCAGGCAACTTATAAAAGAACAACTCCATTCTGACAGAAGCAAACATACAGTAAATACTTAGACTTATAATACAATATACTACTGTACTTTAACAGAATTAAATCATGATTCCCCATAAATATACATATTGAAAAAAACACAATGTGAAACCAGGAAAACTTTGAAAATAACCAAACACACTTTGTTTCCGATCATACATTTCTCCCTCCCCAACATGACCCAAAATAGATTATATACACAATAATTCTAATCTTATTACCCTCAGTGGAGAATTTCTTTGGGGATCTTCCAGCAGAAAAGATCCCCAGTGCAAGCCATGATTACACTTCAAACAGATCTTTTAGTCCCAAACAATACCTCTCTGCAACCTGTCTGTGTGAAGACTTGACGACACCTCCATATGAAGTTGTCACAGGTGAACTTTCTGTTTAGCCAATCATCTTTGGAGACTTCTAAGTTCTCGGTACAAGTGTGCATAAGACAAGCATATTTGATTTCTGCATCATGAAAAACAAATATAATCAAGGAAATCCTAATGTAAAAAGATGTGGATACTTTAATCAGCTGTTTGCATAGTTGGTGAGCATTACTGCAACTGCACCTGAAGGGTTACTATTGGGGATAATTTTGTATATTTGGCAGTTTTGTTTTGCGGAAATCAAACTTTCGGCATTGTAATGAAATGAAACCTGATTTTATTAGAAGCTGTCATCTGTTTGGAATGAGGTTTTGACGGGTCAAATGTGTGAAGTTTGTGTGGCATGGAACATTGCTGACAATATCAACCAATGGTTTGAGTGAGTGAGTGAGTTTAGTTTTATGCTGCTTTTAGCAATATTCCAGCAATATCACAGCTGGGCACACCAGAAATGGGCTTCACACTTTGTGCCCAAATGGGGAATCGAACTCAGTCTTCGGCGTGATGAATGAACACCATAACCACTGGCCTACCCCACCACCCCTCCACTGGTTTGACGTGTAGACTACAGGGATGAGAATGGGTTTGAGTGAAAAAGAGGAAAATGAGATGGGGGTCTTGGAGGCCACAGGTCCCCATGCCAAATCCAATGATCACAGCGCAATCAAATCAGCGGAATTCCGTGGATTTGCGGAAAATTCTCATCCCTGAGACTACAAAAGTATAAAATAACCACTCACTGCCCATAATGACAAAAAAATAATCGGACAACCGACTGAAACACATAATTAAACTGTTACCAATCATCGTTTATTAGTTTTAATATCTCATGCAATTAAAATCTGAAACTGTGCAATTCAAAACAGGACACATGTGAAAACCTGGAAATGTTTTCAATTGCTTTAAGACAATCATATTATACACACCAGACATATCTCCATCTTATATACCAACTGGCAGGCAAATGAGGGAAGCAAGAACCACTTCCCTGTGTGAAAAGCCAACATCCTGCACCTTAAATATTTATAGACAACAAAAACTCCTAAACACACATCTCAGCTGCCTCCAAAGCCTATTGGCGCATGCCATTAAACCCTCGTCAGGGAACTTGCACTTTTTAAAACAACTTGTGTTTTAGCTGGCATGGACACTTCCCTTTGAAGTCATTCAGTAGTGATGTACCCTTACTATGACACAGAAAGGTCACCATGACCCAACATATACATACTTCCCAGTCATGATGCAAATAATCATTATTTCCAGCAAGACAGATGGGCCCGTCTTGAAACAATGACAGTGATTGAAGCCAAGTGGGTCCTTGATGTCTGCTATTGTGTTCTGTTATCTAAAGCCCTCCATTACAGTAGATTCATGACAAACACCCCTTGACTTATAGGCTAAATTCTAAAACTATGACACTCAACAATTTTACATTGGGGAAAAGACAATAGAGGAAAATCCGTTGTGGCTGTTACCATGGTAATGATGTGTATCACGAAAGCAAGCATGCAACTTGTACTTGACATGTAACATGATCACATTACACTTCCACAGTATGGAAACCATGTTTTAGAACAGAGACCTGATAAACATTAGTTCATATGCACATACCTTTAGGAAATAATTCATTTGAAATATAATTACAATGTCTGGGAATTATCTGTACATACAATGTTACGTTCATAGAATGTCTCTAGTGCTTCAGCCTTCAAATTAAATTTTATTGTTGCCTGTATCATGTAGTAATTAACATCGTTAAAAATGTAATTTTCTGAATAAAATTGATATTTTATACTTATCCTGACTCATGCTCTTTTTGCTTGTCTTCTTCTTCTTGCGAACATAGTGGAACACTTGTATCTCCCTAATTGAAGCTCCCTTCAATTTAAAATCACTAATCAATACTCACCAAGAGTTGTCTCTCTTGTCCCCTTTTGGCGGGAAAGGTGGCGCCACCACATCCCACATGCTTCACTCTCTCCTGTTTAACGAGCCCGACACTTGAATTTTCAGGGAAATCCAAAAGTGTCATGTGGGGAGGATGGGAGGGCTTACCTCATGAGTCAGGATAAGTATAAAATATCAATTTTATTCAGAAAATTACACATTTTTCCTTATCCTGACACATGCTCTTTTTGCTTGTAGAATCCGACGGAATCGGAGGTGGGAACAGATACTTTGGATTTTAATTAGTGATTTAGATGTAATAACCCCCTATGGGAACTTCATAATGGCACTGTAATTAAATTAATTTCTGCTGCTATCATACATAAGTTCTACCAGCTGCCATAGATTCGACTA